GTATACAATCACTGAGCAAACGGTACATACTTGAAGACGGCATATAACACAGCTCTTATCTAGTAGACAATACAACACTAGTTGTACACAAACACAAGAGCATTGAGAACAATACACCATAAAAATACACACTTAGGTAACTTTGAACCAGTTACTGCACCCAGCAAAACAAATTCGTATACGTGCAATTGAATGTGAACATTTATTCCACAAAAAATAACCGCTAGTAAAAAGACAATACAACACTAGTTGTACACAAACACAAGAGCACTGAAAACAATACACCAGAAAAATATGCACTTTGATAACTTAGAACCAGTTACTGTAACCAGCAAAACAAAGTTGTTTACGCGCAATTGAACGCGAACACTTATTCCACAAAAGTAACCGCTAGAAAAAACGATAATACGGCTCATCAAAAAAGAAAAAGATAACTGGAAAATTATTTGCAGAACATGTCCTCGATTTTCGAGGTGAACTCTGCCAATAATTGTATACTGGTAATTGAGGAATCTAGACTATTCCATTCTTTTATTGACAGGGGAAAGAATGAATCCTTGAAGCAATCGTTGTTCAAGGTGTATTCTGTAATGGTGAATGCATGTTTATGTCTTAGTTGTCTGGATTCTGCTAGGGAGATGTATTTTGATGAATCGATGTGGCTGCGGTTATGAAGCAGGTTGTGTAGAAATTTTAATCATGCCAGTTTTGCTCTTGTCGCTAGTGTAGAAAGACCGCAAGATTCTAAAAGGTTAGTGGGCGAGTCGGTGCGTTTATACTTGTTGTAGATAAACCTTACGACCTTCCTTTGTACCCATTCTAACCTTGCGATATGAGTGGCATATTGAGGGAACCAAACAGTGTTGGCGTACTCTAAAATTGGACGAACAAATGTTGTGTAGGTTAAGAGCCTAGTTTGTGTCGGTGCTAGTGGGAGACGCATTCTTAAGAAAAACAGCTTGCGCAAAGCGGCAGCTGTGACGTTATTTATGTGCGCTCCCCATCTCAGATCGGAAGTTAATGTGACACTGAGATATTTCTGCAGCGAGACCCTTTGTAAAGGTGTGTTGTTTATTTTGTAAGTAAACTCAGAGGGTGCCTTTTTCCTGGTCACCGTCATACAGACTATTTTTGTTAAGTTTATGGACATTTGCCATTCTTCACACCAGTGAGCAATTTTTTTCCAATGGACTATTTTGTGCCTTGTGGTCATCACTGTCTTTAATTTCCCTGTAAATAACGCAGTTGTCAGCAAAGGGCTTAATTTTGCAGTCTATGTCGGCTGTAATGTCATTTCTATAGATAAGAAATAATAATGGCCCAAGGACAGAGCCTTGGGGCACACCTGACTTTACAGAAGCCATCCCTGATAATACGTCTTCGTAAACCACAAACTGTTGGCGGTCGCTAATGAAATCTTTTACCCAATTCGTAATCCCTCCACCTCCTATTATGTTTTCCAGTTTTGAAATCAGTTTGGTATGACAGACACGATCGAACGCTTTCGATAAATCCAGCAGTATTATAGCTGTTTGGGAACGGTTATTTATACAAAGGGCAAGATCGTGAACAACTTCAGTAAGCTGGGTTACAGTTGATAACCCTTTCCGAAAGCCGTGCTGGTGGGGAGACAGAAGGTTGTTAAAAGAGTTTAAAGAACCCCAGGTGGTCAAAATTTCTGGAGCCTTCCACTGCGGTGTCTCTCATAATCATATGGTGGTTTTGGGATGTTAAACCCCAGCGATTAGTAATAATAAACATGCAGTAGGTTTAATTGATCCAAAGCTCAGTGTCTCTGGCTTTTTCTTTTTTTGACCATCAGTTGGTACAACTGGTTAAAACAAGTCATGTCTGTGAATCTGGATGCTGTACCTGAAAGGGATAAACATAGTTCGTGAGGGGCACTTGCAACCATTCTCTTGACCTAGCATGTATTACATAGTACGTAGTGGCATTACCCTTATGAAGTGGTAAGGATTATTAATGCCATTGAAACAGTATTCAGTATATTAAAGCAGCTAAGGATATGTGAGCTATTAGAGAGAGTTAACAGTGGGAAACAATATGATGCAGTCTTGTATAAAGTCTGTGGCAATACAACCTTAAATATTTAAAGTATGCCCTGGCAATTAGAGAAATTTTGTCAGTTTAACAAAGAGGAAATAACAATCTTGAACATGCAATCCACTGTGAGAATTGAGTGTTATAAAAGCTGGTAGTTGGCTGTTAAGCATTGTTCAGAACTCCACGAAGTGTTACTAGGTACCTATAATGGTGGTCTGGTGGCTAAACACTTGGCTTCTTACCCGCAGGTCGCGGGATTGCATCCCGGCTGTGGCGGCCGAATTTTCGATGGAGGTGAAAGTGTTTGATGCTCATGTGCTTAGAATCAGATGCATGTTGAAAAACCCCAGGTGGACAAAATTTTCAAAGCCCTCCACTATCATGTCTTTCATAATCATGGTGTTTTGGGATGTTAAATCCAGCAATTATCATTATTAAAGTGTTACGATGCAGACCAACACCAACTATATGTGTAAAGGAAGCGGTTGTGTGTATGTAACATCAGTGATTCTGTGATGGTAGCATAAAGGTTATAATAGTGGAAATGATAATGAAATTATAGCTGCAGCATCATTTCTACTCCGGCCCTTCTATGCGAATTTATGACATGCTCACTTTCGGATCTTATAAAGTAGTAGGCAGGCGTAAGTGAGACACACAAATTATCATGTTTAAAAGTGTTACCCAGTTGCATATACCTATGTCATAATGTGTATATTAAGGTGACTGTTACATATGGGCCTCGGTGAAGGATTGATAAAACATTTTCGACCTTGGGTTATTGTGAGGGCAGTAAAAAAATAAACAGCTTCTACATGTACCCACAGCGGTGGCTTAAAAAGGGCATGAGTTCTCAGCTATGGTGGCTGCATTTTAATGGGAATAAAATGTGTAAATGCCTGTGTATTTATATTAAAGTGTGCGTTGGAGAACCCCAGGGGGTCAATATTTCACCCAGTATCCTTCACTGTAATGCATCTCAGTCATGATGGTTTTGTGGCGTCAACTCCTTGAAACAAGAAGAAAAAAAACTTCTGCATAGTTTTGGATGTTCAAAGGGAAGGATTGTAGAATATGGGCTGATTCTGAAGGCAGTGCTGTCTAACACAGCACCTCCAAGTTCCAGGTGCCTGGAAATAATGTGAGAACGACGTTTGTGATGCATGCACCAAAAGTCTCAAAGCGATAGTAGGGTTTGGCGCCATAGTAGTAAATGTGGAATTACTACTACTGTGTGGACTCTGGTTACACTATGGTTAAAGGGGCCCTGTGCACAAATATTACACTGCAAGTTTTTATTACAACGTGTTCCTTGTATTGTCCTGAGATGGACGCAAAAAGAGAGTTTTGAAGAATTTTGCTTTGTTTTTTGCACAGCTCAATGTGCACGCAAACCAACTAGCTCAACTCTCCCTTTTGCTACAGCTTTTTTGGACAAGATCCTAGAAAAAATGAATTCAGAAATATTTGGGGTATTGACTGAAGTGACATTGAGGACAATAATGTTGCTGGAGTCTATTTTGTTGTTTATTGGTGTACACTCAAACCTTAATATAACAAAGTTGCATCTTACAAAAAAATAGGTTTGTTGTATCCGAAAATTCGTTTTAAAGGTTATTCCTAACACTGTATCAATTGTAAGACTATTTCTCATTTAGTTTGTTATAATTGATATTTTGTTATGTACATGTTCCCTCTATTGAGGTTTGAATGTAGTCATTTTGTTGTTGCCTTTCATTGTTTCGCACATGACTCATTATTGCTTGTAGCAAAATGAGTGTTGTGCGGCTAAGCACGTGGGTGACTGTCGAACTTTTAGCATGATGATGATATGTAGGGTTTAACATTCCAAAATCACCATATGATTATGTGAAATTCCTTAGTGGAGGGCTTGAAAAATTTTGACCACCTGAGGTTCTTTAATGTGCATCAAATCCTGAGCACACAGGCCTACATAATTTTCTCCTCCATCGAAAATGCAGCTGCCGCAGCCGGGCTTTCATCCCGCGACCTGCGGCTTAGCAGCCGAGTACCTTAGCCACCAATTTTCAGCATGAAGGAACAAAAAAGTTAGGAGGGAGCATTGAGCTATGTGGAAGAAAGAAAGAAAAATGGTAGGTTAGTCATCCTCCCACCAAGCAACGCTTGTCTCCACATGACCCCCCTCCTGCTATTTCCCTTAATAGGGGAAGGGCTCCTACTATTTTTCTCTATAGATGCTGAGCGGCATCTCAGTGGCGGCCACTGTTATTTACATTGGATTCAGTGCTTCCTAAGTGCATTTTATATGCTGGGCCTTTGAATATTCTTCAGTTTATCTGGACTTTTGAATTTTCTTAAAGGGATATTAAAGAGAAATTGTGACTTAGTTTAGGCTGAGAAATTGTACTCTGACAACTCTAATTTCAGAACTTTCACCATCATAAGTGCTATATTAGCGGAGCAAATCAAAATTGAAGTATTTTTCTGAAATTTCACAGCGAAATCTCTGTGCATGATGTCGAAATTTCAGAATGTATGTTTGGTATTTTCGGGACATTGGCCTTATGAAATTCCTGCACCTTTATAGGCTAGGTCTATAGCACCTTAAGATGACCATGTACTTCATTTTTATTAATTAATAGCTACGTAGGACCCAGTAAATGCCTGCAATGATGTCATAATGTTTTGTGAGGGAATCTCACGCAGGGGTCTTCACCAGCATTTGCTTTTCACGCATTTTGCGGCTTACAAAGTGTTGTGTCATGATAAGAGTGGTGTTTTTGGGATTGTGAAATTGTACTTTACTAGTACACGAAAAATTTTTCTGCTTTTTAGTGTTTCTTTAAGTCTCAGCATTGCAAACGAGTTTCTTTAGTTGTCTAAACATGATGCATTTAGCTACTACAGCAGAGGTGCTCAGCTCTGCTTACCAATACCTGACTGACCACTTGCAGGTGCCATCTAGCCAGGCTGGAGCAGTTGTCCCTGATGATGCACGAGCACAGGACGTTCTCAAGGAGCTGCTTTCTGATGCGGGCAGCATGCATGGTCGACAAGAGCAGATGGACCAGCTGCTTGCACAGATGAAAAAAGAAAATGGGGCATTATGGCAGGAGGTGTCTCGTTTGCGCCAGAAGCACCTGAAGCAACAACAAATAGTTGGAAAGCTTATCCATTTCCTAATCACCATGGTACAGGCCAACCGTAACATCACTGTAAAGCGCAAGATCCCACTCATGCTTCATGGCAGTGCTGGCACAGGCTCAAAGATTCCTCGACTGGCCAAGAATGCCTTTGTTGCCGACTACCATGTCAGTTCAGTATGTTCAGTTTTTCATGGCCAAAGGCCTCCATAGGGAGAAAATTCGTGTTTACTTCTCTTTGTGTTTACTTCTCCTTTTGCACAACTTGAAAAAAATCTTTCTTGCCAGGTTTTTGATTTGTTAAAGGTGCGCTGCAACACTTTTCCAAGTAGGCATGGAATGGATTCACTAAAGGCGCTTATTGCCTCATGAATTCACTGTAGCAAAATTTTTAGAATCTGTACAGTACAAGTGAAGTTGCAAAGATTTGTTGCACGCTGCAATCGCATTCTTTCTTGTCTCCTCCTGACGAAAGCCCTGGAAGCTAAGCAGGAAGGGATGGCACGGTGAAAGAAAATACGTCACGGGTGCCTCTAGACCTTAAGCACTCCCCCACTGCCCCACTCCCTTCGAATACGCAGCTTTTCAGTGCAATCACACGCAGGCGTGGACAAGTCACGCCATCCCACGGGGGCACCAGTAATGACTGAGTGCGCCATGCTCAAATCAGACTATGGCTGATATATTGGCTGTGACGAGTGATTTTGGGGCTTGTAGCATCATTCGTCGAAAGAAGGAAAAGCTGTCATTAGCTGACTTTGAGAATTTTTTGTGAATTTTGGCCCACATGCTGCACTATAAGATTTGGCTTGCGTGTTCTCGAGGAGTCTTGATTACCGATTTGCAACGTTTTTCGACCATGCTCAAAAAACTATTGCAGGACCCCTACGATCAAACTTATTGTTTGTCCAAATTACATGACTTTTCAGTGCTACTCGACTTATACCTAAGGTGCCCTTTTTTATCGTTACTTGGTTCTTCAGCATTTGTAACTTCTGCATTTTTTGCACTTTTCAGCCTGCTGGCTCACAAGTGTCTGATGGTCCTGTAATTCGTGATGTGACTGATCTAATGGAAGACCTTGGTGAAACGAGCGCCACTGCAAGTGACCTGATGAGTCCTGCCCAGTCCCCGAAGGCAGTAGAAGAATCAGCTCCTGTGACACCTGTTCGACTGATTTCATCAGCAGCCTTCAGTGGATTGGATTCTGGTTGCTTAGGGGCGAGTCTTTTGAATGCCACAGAAGGAATAGAACCTCTGTGCCTGCTTGACCCCCTTCAGGATGAGGGGTGAATGTCCTCATCTCTAAGTCTTTGTTGTATCTTTCCACGATGATGACCACTAGCTCACCCAACTTTTCACCGGGCTGTAATGTCCAATGGCCCGGAAAAAGATTAAGGTTTACCATTGAAAACAAACCATGAGAGTCTGAACAAGACTGTGATGACCTTGGTCAGTTACAAACATGGTAACCTAATTTAGCACAAAATGGAATTCATCGAAAATTAAAAATAGATCTCATATTTTAGGCATTCACAACTAATCACTGGTAATATGTCACTGTCCTTAATGCAATAAGTATACAATCACTGCATACCACCAGTTCTATCATATGGGTCTGAAACATGGAGGGTAACAAGGAAACTAAAGAAAATGTTAAGGCCCATGCAGTGTAAGGGAAAAGAAAATGATTGGCATTTGGCATTACATTAACCTCATCGGTCTCAGCATACCCAATTGAATACCGTTGTTTTAAAGACTACAGATCACCAAAATTCACCCCACCGCGGTGGTCTAGTGGCTAAGGTACTCGGCTGCTGACCTGCAGGTCGCGGGTCAGCAGCCGAGTACCTGAGCACACGGGCATACAGCATTTCCGATGGAGGCGGAAATGCTGTAGGCCCGTGTGCTCAGATTTGTGCGCACGTTAAAGAACCCCAGGTGGTCGGAATTTCTGGAGCCCTCCACTACGGCGTCTCTCATGATCATATGGTGGTTTTGGGACATTAAACCCCAAATATCAATCAATCAATCACCAAAATTCAACATCTGCATGTTCAAATTTGTCTTGCCACAATAAGGATGAGTTGCTTTTGCTAAGCCCCAAAAAGTGGCACCTTGTGTCTAGTCATATTCGAAAAATGAGTGAACGAAAATGGCCGAGTACTGCATAGGCGCTCAGGTTCATCCTCATGATAAGTGAAAGCTTTTCACTTATCCTCATGATAAGTACCCTTTCACTTATCCCCTTTCACTTATCCCAATACCCTTTCACTTATCCTCATGATAAGTGAAAGGGTATTGGGTATTCTTGTTGACATCGAGACAAAAATAGGCCTTCGCTGGTTATATAATACATAGGACAGCTAACTGGTGGCCAGTTAGAGCAACAGAGTGGTTGCTATTTAATGGGAAATGCAGTATTGAAAGGCAGCAAGTTAGATGGAATGAAAAATAGGTATAATAATAAATGGGTCTGCTGGAATAAAAATATAATCTGCCCAAGCAAGTTAAGGTGAACTAGAGATCGTAGGGTGAAGCCTTTTTCATTAGTAGACTTAAAGAGACCAACAACTCATTTTTCTCAGCGCAGTTTTCTTACGGTGTGGCAGACAGCTGACTCTTCGTAACGTTTGTGGCTTTATTTATTTATTTTACTAACAGTATTTTCTCTATCTTTGAGGTTTTAAACACAGGTGTACCTTTTCTCCAGCAAAACTAAGAGACGATAGTGAAGCCACCAGCCCTTCTCGCGATTTGTAAAACCTGTTGTCGTACTGCTTCCATAGGAGTTCCTGCAACGATGCTTAATCATGTTTATTTTGAGCTTTTCAACTGTTTTTGAAAATCATGAGCTGTTACAATGAGATGATGTGGCATTATACACGTTCCATGTATATGAATGCTTTTGCCTGGGTCATGGGTGGCTTGTCCAGGTGTCGTTACTCTCTTGATACACGAGTCGAGCCAAGTCACTGATAACGTTGCTGCATATATGCATGGCCATGCCAACTAGCAGTACTCATTTCTGAGACGAAGTGTAGGTAGCAAAACTATGTCTCTCCAAAATCTTAGTGACCTGGAAACAATGTGCACGGTTTGATGAGCATGCTGCAATGTTGCTCAAGACGTATTACTAGCATGATATCATTACGTCATGTGAGAACAGCGCCACTTTAATGCATACTACTATTGCAGGTCTATATGTACATTTTTATGGAGCAATATTTTTTAAAGAAACCAACATTATTTCAATACTAACAAAATTATCATTGACCACATACTGCAATCAACGGTCATGGGGCCTGGTACATCGGAACGTTCATGTTGTTGCGAGCAGAGGTGCCGTAGGTCATTTTTCATAACTTTCAATGGTGAAAAAAATTATAAATCTCACGAATACCTTTCATGAAAAAAACAGGGTTTGCTTGAGTCAGTTGGACAGATGATCATTTTATCTGTGCAGCCATGCCATTTCATGTTCTGCACAGTTGTCAGTCCCTTAATATGATGGATGATGATGGTGACTTTGACAGTGACAAAATGCTACTTAGACAAAGTAACAAGTTCATTTACATGATGGTCAGAGAAAACAGAAAGAGAGGGAGGCCTGCTTATTTAAGACACTCTTGGAAATTTTTTTTGTCTTAGTTCAGCATAGCTAGTCATCAACAATTTACTCAATTTTTTTCTATGAAAGCACTTAGCCGTGCACCTGGTTAAACAGATTTTTCAATGCAAGAAAGGTGCACCTTCAATGGGACTGCAAAAGTCAACAGCTTCATGCAAAGCACCCTATTGCCTTCTTAAAGTGCCTGTAAATTTTTTACCATAACCATGATCAATACCCTCCCATTGTCACAGCTATGGTCGTTGACTGGTTACCCGAGGGAAAATTGAACCCTGAATAGAGATTGGCCGTAGTTAAGTGACAACAGCCAGGCTTGAGCAAAACATGTGCTATCCCCATCATCCTTTGTCATAGGCCTCATACACCTCATCCATATTGAAAGCCTTGTTAAATGCAAATTGCTGGCTAAATATTCTTATTGACATGTAGTGCACCGCTGTAATAAACCATACATGAACAAGCTTCCACATACCTGTCAAAACTATGATAGATATACTTTTAGGGCTTCCCTATATGCACAGCTAGTTCAGCATGTACATTGTCACGATGAGTCACAAGTACTGGGGGATTTATTAAACCACCGGGTAGCTAGCTCTAGGACGATGCGCCAGTCGTGGCTGGCTCTCGAGCAGAGAAGATTTGTTTTGTTTTGTTTCCCTGGCGTGATGGCTCATACCCACTCAGGGGGATTGGCCAAGAAAGTGTAGTGCAGTTTTTTTGTGATCATTTTAACTATGTGTAATGAGTTGGTATTATAATAAAAAAAATGTAAAAAAACAACATAAAAAGAGCAAATGAAAAAAAAAATCAAGTTGAGCAATTTTGAGATTTGAGGTGTTATGATTACCACTCAGCTGCGTTTACTTCACTCTGCCCTGGGGAGTAATAATTAATAATTTTTTGATTGAAGATCACAAAGGTATACGCTTGGTTGCCTGAATATAATCGCAAACGGCATTGAAAGCATCCCTGTGGCAATGTCCCAAAACTGAGGCACCAAAGCTTAGCGCCATTTCCGCCGTCAATCTAACACCTATTTTCAGAAATGGCATAACTAGTAACCTTTTTCGAAGTATATTGTAGCGGCGACAATACAAAAAGTAGTGATCTAGTGATTCCATTTCTCCGCAGAATGCGCAGAGGGGTGATGTTGTCGGACCAGCTCTGTGTAGATACAGGTTTAGGGGGGGGGGGGGGTGCAGACACGGCATCGAAATTTAGTAATTAAGACTTCGAGCTTTCGGGACTGGCTCCAGTGGGGTTGCCATGGAAACATGAGGTGGTTATATTCTGTCCATGTAGTTACTTTTTCTATCGTATCAGTGGAGATTGCTGATTTTCGATATCTTATTGCCGTGATATATTCCACATCTGGCAGTATGGACAAAACTGGCCCATCAAGTGTGGCTCGTGCTAAGGAATCGGCCAATTTATTTAATCTTAATCCACAGTGTCCCGGAACCCATAGTAACCTAGGGAGCCTCAACTGCGGGGGTACTAATGTTTTGAATGTGCTTAGAATTCGAGAGTTCTCTGAAGCTGTCAGAGCTGCACAAACTGAAAGAGAATGCGTCATTATGACTGCGTTGTTTTGATTTGATGGAAGTTTTCAGAGAGCTAAAATAATCGCCACGAGCTCCGCTTCAAAAACTGGAGTAAAATCAGGCAGTCTCACTGAAAAGGACCAGTCAAGCGAATCAGAGGCAATGCCCACACCTGCCTTTTGATTATTTATGGAAGCATCTGTGGCTATTATATTTTTAGTTTCTGCATGCTCCACGTAATCTAATAATATGTTATTTAAAAATTTGAGATTGTAATTTGGCATTTTGGGGGAATATATCATCATACTCAATTATTAACATGACAATTCGAGTCATTAGTCTCAATTACATTTCTAATGTTCACATTTATACTTTGTTGATTCTTTTGTACAAACATTATCTGAGGTGTGTGAAACCGTGGCCAATGAGCAAGAAAGAAGGCGTCTGGGTTTACAATAAAAGCATATTGAGATCTTCTTGCCGGTAAGCTATAAAATTTTAAAAATGCTTGTACGGTCAAAATTCGAAATCGACAAAGTAGAGTAGGCAGGCGCGCTTCCTGGTACAGTACGTTGATAGCCACAAATCTAGGTAGTCCCAGACACATTCGCAGTGCTTCTCGCTCCAAGACAACTAGAGGTTTCGTTTTATAAGCAGGGCCTCCCGAGAATAATATGCAGCCGAATTCCATGATGGGGCGCATATACCTCTTGTACAACGTTATCAAGGTGTGCCTCCGTAACCCATATTTCCGGTTACTTAGCTTGTGTAGTAAGCCAGAAGCCCGCTGTGCTTTGGTTGTTATATACTCTATGTGTGGACTCCAGTTGTCATTATAAATGATTCCCAAATATTTTATAGAGTCTACTTGCTAAATGGGTTCCTGTTTATATAGAATTGAAAATGAAATTGGTTCTGCAAGCGGAAACGCCATGAGCAAACTTTTGTTGACACTTAATGATAACGAAATCGACTGCAACCAAATTTCTAACATGTTAATATATCTTTGTAATTTAAGTTGTAGTGAGTAAACACCACAGTCAGCAGCAAAGAGTGCGATGTCATCAGCATAAATGTAGACTGTAACTTCTTGATCTGTTGGAATTGTGCTCAT